TTACATTACATTACATTACATTGCATCACACCACAGTGCAGTACATTACATTACATTATGTTACCATCCATCAATCCATCCATCCATCCATCCGTCCATCCATCCCTCCATCCACACATACGTACACACTAACATACAAACAATCATACATACATAAATACATGCATACATACATACATACATACATACACACGTACATACTTACATACACACATATATGGGTAGTTGTCAAAATTATGGTCCCTTTTGGGGTACCCTAAATGATAGGTGCCGTATTATAGTAAGGGCCCAAGAAGGCACCATAATTTTGACAACCACCCATATACATCTCTCTCTCTATACACACATACATATACCCTACACATATATATATATATATATATATATATATGCGCTTCGTGCCTAGAGTAGGTCTCCTGTGCATACCACTACGATATCGGGCCAAGGGTCTGTAATAAAAAATAACTCTCTCTCTCTCTCTATATATATATATATATAAGTAAGTATGTGCATATATATATATATATTAATGCTAACGGCCTACGATGGCGGACTATTAGGACCCCAGTAAAGGAAAAACAGGCCTTAAGGGTTGCGGACCGAGGGTCTAAGGTTTAGGGTTTAGGGGTTTAGGGCTTTAGGGTTTTAGGGTTTAAGGGTTTAGGGGTTTAGGGGTTTAGAGGTTTATATATAGGGGTTTAGGGGTTTAGGGTTCAGGGTTTATAGGGTTCATGGGGTCAGGGGTGGAAACCTGTCTCCGTACGCGTTTCTTTGTCCTTCGCAGCTAGCAGTCCAGCGAAATCTTACGGATCATTTGCCAGTGCCTTGGTTTGAATGCAGCAACATCTGCACTACAGATGTCTCGGGAAGCAGATCGGGGCTTCTCCGCCCCTGTCCGCGAAAACCACTTCTCGTTCTCGCTGTGGAACAGAGCATCCAATCTTGCACACTTCACTGGGATGTTCTTTGCAGCCTGGATCATCGCAGGATTCATGGAAGAGAGCAATTTCTCGGGGTGTGCGGCCACAACAGATCTGTTGAACTTCGAATCGTTCCAGGCTGTGCACAGAGAAGTGTTTTTGTTCATCGCCTGCCTGATTTCATGAAAGTCTCGTGCCAATCGAACCACATCAATCGCCGCAAAAGGCGGTGACTTGTTCCACAACTTTTGGCGACCGTTGACAGAGTCCTTGCCTTAGCTGCTGATTTCATAAGCCCAAAATATTTTCAGTGTCATAAGGAATAACATCATCAACAAAAATGTGAAGCGTACGCACTCAGCTAATAAGAACTATTCCCCTAAACCCTTATATGAGTGAAGCCATTTCAAAGTTAACGTGTAACCCTAAACCCTATGCCCGAAACCCTGAACCCTGAACCCTAAACCCTAAACCCTAAACCAAAAAAACCTGAACCCTAAACCCTAAACCCTGAACCGCGAACCTTGAACCCTAAACCCTAAACCCTAAACCAAAAAACCCTGAACCCTATAAACCCTAAACCCTGAACCCTATCATTCAGCTGCTAAGTTGCACTGCTTCCACCGACTGCCCTTCAAGCCCAGGCTCGCATTGCACACCAAGAATGCCGCCCCACTGCACTTCACCTCCTAAGGTTTAGGGTTTAGGGTTTAGGGTTGAGGGTAAAGGGTTGAGGGTATAGGGGTAGAGTTGGGGGTTTTGGGTTCAGGGTTTAGGGTTTAGGGTTGAGGGTATAGGGTTGAGGGTTGAGGGAGGGTATAGGGTTTAGGGTTTAGGGTTGAGGGTTTAGGGTTCAGGGTTTAGGGTTGAGGGTTTATTGTTTAAGGTATAGGTTGTTTTAGGGTTTAGGGTCTCCTTACCAAGACCCTGCTTGTACCCCCAAACAGGGGTACGTGGTCCATAATACCAGGTAATTAGGGTCGAATAGAGGGTAGAAGGAGGGTCTGGGTACTGGGTACTAGTCGTGATCATATACCCTAAACCCTAAACCTAAACCCTAAATACCACAAAAAACAGGAAAAGGTTGCCTAAACTGGACGAAGACTCTTTCAAATAGTCGTAGGATGCAGCGTGCACCGTCTGGAACAAGCTTAAGTTGTTGAGAAGCCGCAGGTGCTCGTCCCCGTCCTTAGTTGTCCTGACCATCAACGGCAAAGCCTCAGGGTTTAGGATTTAGGGTTGAACCGTCGTTTGTATTTTTAGGTCGCAGCTTGCGCGCAATTCAAGTGCTAGCTTACCTGCTGAACTCATAGGCCCCAAAGTATACACTTTCAATTCCTTAAGGAAGAACATTATGCCAAAAAAGTGTAGAGTGTACTCATTCAGCTACTGAGCTAAGTGTCTCCATGTGCATCGACACGACAGCTGCGCAGGCTTGAGGCTAGATGAGCTGGAAAGTTTAGCGGAATACCTCAGCTTCCAACTGCTCAGCAATCTTTAGGGTTTAGGGTTTAGGGTTTAGGGTTTAGGGTACCCAGACTAAAAAAAAACCGAAACCCCAAACCGAAATCGACAGCTGATAGGAAGGGTAGAACTGAGTAAAGGCCTGAGATTTGTGCAGGGTTGTATGGCCTGGAGTTTCGGGTTTGGGGTTTAGGGCGTCTAGGGTCTAGGGGATTAGGGGAGTAGGGTTTAGGGTTTGGAGTTTAGGGTTTGGGGTGCCCTAAACCCTAAACCCTAAACCCTAAGGACATGTTAAAGCTCAGGCAAGTCTCTTCGAACCTTGCTCTGCTCTGCCCACACTGCGGCATACCAGCTAGCAGCCTCCCGGTGAAACACCACCGCGGACATGCAAGTGCTCGCACCTTAGTTGCTGAGCTCATAAGCCCCCAAAAGTGTACACTTTCAGTTCTATAAGGGATCATATAATCCCCAAAAGTGTAAAGTGTACTCACTCAGCTACTAAGGCACCAAATAGAGACATGAAGCACCGCCAGGCTTTGCCGTCAAAGAAGGCGAAGTCTTCAGACGATAAGACTACCAATCGTGACGAGTTCAGTTGCGAGTATAAGTATGTCAACCCATCCTTCAGCCGCTCTTCTTTCACAGTATCTCGCTGCTCTCCGCCGCCGCGGTTACAGGTGTAGAGAAGTGGCTCCACAATGAAACGTGCAGTTGCCTTCGCAAAGCCACGGAAACCCACGCTCAAGCCAAATTCCTCCCAAAGCCAGCCTGCATTCCCTATCAAGAACTTTTGAATGGCCGTGGTGCCCGTCTTCCTGGGCTTTGAAGTAGCCAGGGAGAAAGAAGTATAGACTTTTATTTCATAATGGCTCCTTTAAGGAACAGGTCCCCACAAAAGTATGAAAGTATGGTACTCCAAAGCTCAGCTTCTGTGGTCCAACATGGACGATCAACCTCGGACCTACGCAGGCTCCCATCGCGGATCCATCGTGCACTCCAGTTGTCCTCAGCACTTCCTCAGGGTCTCCAAAAGCCACGTGACAAAAAGGAATTTTCCACGGTCAATTCCTTCCACTGTAGTCCTTATAAAGAAAACGCCTTGAGCAGCTTATGCTTATGATAGCTTATGTCTCTTTTTGATTCCGAACGACCTGCTTCTGGTCTGTTCCAAAGGCGGTTGCCAAGCTGGACAGCCAAGAAAAACTGCCAAGGACGCCCAGTATCGCCACAGCCGTCACGCAGCGGCGAACCACCATTCATACTCCAGTCTAAACTCGAGTATTGCGGTCTGGATTTGTGCTTTTCACACCTTTGTTAGAGCTTTTTTTCAAAGTGCGCATCAAGATTTAGGGCTTTCCCTTATCGCCCATAAACTTCAGCTTGGGGGCTCGGGTCTTGGACGTCAGGGTTGAGCTAGTGAAGCATGTACATTGTTATCAGTTCCCTAAACCCTAAACTTCTTGTTTAGGGCTTAAGGGTTTAAGGGTTTTTGTTTAAGGGTTCAAGAAACCCTAAACCCTAAACCCTGAACCGTTTAGGGTTATCCGAGATCTGCAGCCCTAAGGCTTGTTAGGGGCAATGCTTCGGCATGGACGGCTGTCAAGATTGCAGGCTTGCGGTTTGCGTCATGTTCAGGGCTCTAGGGTCTAGGCTTCTGGGTTCAGGGCTCTAGGGTTTAGGCATTTGGGTTCAGCTCTAGGGTTTAGGCTTCTGGGTTCAGGGTTTGGGGTTTCAGGTCGTGGGTTCAGGGTTTCGGACTGTAGGCGTTTGGAGCTTAGGATTTCGGTTCAGGGTTTCGGACCTAGGGTTTGAGGCTTAGGACTTCGATGGTTTAGGGTATGTGGTGTGCAACATGTACCGTTTGGGGAGCAGGGGCTGCGGTTTAGGGTTTAGGGTTTAGGGTTGAGGGTTTAGGGTTTAGGGTTTAGGGTTTAGGGTTTAGGGAAGCTCTCAAAGTGAACATGTTGACAAAGAAAATGCCTCGAAATCCACCCAAAACCTTCACCCTTTACCCTGGACCCCAAACCTATATAAGCTTAAAGCCCCAAAATGCCCTACAGTATAACCAAAGTTCAATGCCACACCCCAAATCCCATCCCTGCACCCTAAACCCCAAAGCTCGAAACCCTACTTGGAGGGTCATGGATAGTAAGTAAGGTTATAAGTCCCTATTGGGGTTATAAGTATAGTTACCCTGATTATAACCCTACGTACTTACTAAGTCCCATGATCCTTTAAGTAGACCCTCAACCCCCACACCTAAACCCAGACGCCGTAAACCCAGGGAGTTCGGCGGCGTTTCGGCTAAACGTCTCCTTCCCCGCCAAGGGGCGCCGCACTTGATCCATGACCATCCGGGAGGAGCCAACCTTCTACTTAAGGGGCCTTTACAAGAAGAACAGGGCACCCTTAAAGGTGCCGTCACAGGCTTCTTTTGCCTTGGCAATTAGAATAGGGTTTTGGTGTCCATTGTAGAGGGCTCCCTAATGGCAGCAGTCCCTAGTAGAGGGCTCCCTTATGGCAGCATGTCTAAGATAAAGGTACTCCTTTCCTATCATTCAGCTTCAATAAAGAGATTCTAAAATTTCACAAGGGTAGAAGGGTACCACTGGGGCTCCTAGCAAGGCCACTATACAGGTTCTGTACGGATGACTGCCTAAGGGCCTGAGCAATCAAAGTAGGATTTTCGGGTACGCTGTTCTAGCCTGTATCAGAACGGCAACCCTAAGGAGTAGCATTGGAGTTGTTTAAGCTTCCGTGTTACTTGAGGCTAGGGTGAAGAACGTGATTTCTAGAGGGTCCAAGCTTCGAAACAGTAAGGGTTTTAGGTCCGAAGTACCCTAAACCCCTAGAGCCTAAACCACTAAACCCTGAGCCCGAAACCTCCGAAGTAGAATCCGACTCCTGGGACAGTTGGACTGATGGGCTGGCTACGGTGTCAGGAATTCCGGGGGTTAGGCCTTAGTCTGGGGGCTTAAGGATTTCGGGTTTAGCATGGAAGTTGTAGAGGCCTTGGGTCCCGGGTTTTGACCGAAGCGTTCTCGTTTTCTTAGGGGCTGAGTACCCTAACCCAAAAAAGGTTAACCGTTTGAAGTATAGTAGGATTATATAAGCCCCAAAAGGTTAAAGGTTACCTACTCAGCCCCTAGGTTTTGCTTCTGCTTTCGAATTCATGGCTGGGGCCGGGCTGGGCTGGCGGACTGGGACTGGGCTGGGCTGCGCTTGGGGGGCTGGGCTTTGGCTTTGGCTTTGAATTTCGAAGTGGGGCCTGGGCTTGGAGGGGCTGGCAGGCTGCGGCTCCTGGCGGCCGGGCTTGTGCTGGTTTGGCTGTTGGATCTGCAACTCCGTTCTCTCTGGCGCCAAAGAGCTGGGCCCCAGGCAGCCTTTAGAGTCGAACTCTTTCCTGGTTTCGCTGCATATCGCTGGGTGAGACAATGTGTCTTCACCCGTGTTTTCTTTGCCGAACGCTTTCTTCCAGGATAGAGAGGGTTGGAGCTGCATTCCGGAGCTCTGCCTTCTGTCTCTGTCTTTCACTCTTCTCGAAGTTCTGCAGGTTCCTGATGCAAAAGCGTATGTTCTTTTTTGATGCCGGCAAGGCCTGGGAGGTCTTGCTCCGAGAAGCGTTGGAGTCGCCTTCCGAAATCTATAGATCCTCCGTGCTTAAAGGATCATGGGACTTAGTAAGTAGGGTTATAATTAGGGTAACTATACTTATAACCCCAATTAAGGGACTTATAACCTTACTTACTAAGTCCCATGACCCTCCAAGTGATGTTGGGCGCCAGCATCGGGTGCTTTGCAAAGGCTCCGATCAACGCCAAGCGCCGACTCTCTCGCCTGGTCCTTCGTCAGCGGAGAATCTCCTTGCGAACAGCGCCCTCTAACAGTATCAGTCTTCCGGCCCACTGAAAAGAACCCGGTGCTCCTGCCTTCACAATCTTCCGACGTAAGCCCCTTAAGTGCAAAGCCCTGGAGCCTAAATCCAGATTAGGAAACGAAGCCTCCAAGAAGACCCCCCAAAAAACTCTCAACTGTCTCCAAATTTAAGCTAGAACCCCTGAAAAGCCTAGTTTCGGGAACCCTCGTTCCTAAACCCTAAAGCCGTAAGGCCCTAAACCCTAATAAGTAACCGGACCCCGTAAAGGAGCCCTAAAAGGGAACGAACCCTAAAGGCGAGACCCTAAGCCTTACAATACGACCCCTTGAAGGAACCCCGGTTTAGGGTTTAGGGTGTAGGGTTTAGGGTTTGGGATTTAGGATTTAGGGCTTAGGGTGGAACAAACTCTATAGACCCTAAACCGTAAAACGACTCCTTAAAGGAACCCATTGAAGGAACCCTCATAAGGAAGACCTCTTCTATAGATACCTTTTAAAAGACTCCATTAAAGCAAGCCTGAGCCTCTGGGTCCCTGCAATCAAAGCATTTAGGGTTTAGGGTTCAGGGTTTAGGGTTTTGGGTTTATAGGGTTCCTAAACCCTAAACCCCCCAAACCCCTAGAAGGAACGTGTTTCGGGGTTGAGGGTTTACCTAGACCCCCCAACGACCCCCTAATATGCCCTAAATACCCACTGTTAAGGACCGTAAGGGCTCCATTAAAAGCGCTCCATTAAAGGGCCCTAACCCTAAATCCTAAACCCCAATCCCTAAACCCCAAGCCCTAAACCCTAATAGGGTTTAAGGTTTAGGGTGTTAGGGCCTCGATTGGGTCGCCCAAGGAGGTTCCAGTTCCGTGGCACTCGCCGAAGGTGATTTCTGCAGCAGAGAGCCCGGCCTTCAAGGGAGGTTCGGGGTTGAGTTTATTTTTGTTTAGGGTCTTTGGGAGATTGGGGTGCTTAGGGTTTAGGAGCTTCGGGGTTGGGGGTTTGGGGAGTTTGGGGAGTTTAGGGGCTTCAAGGAGGTTCGGAGTTTAGGGTTTAGGGGCTTTGGGAGGTTTAGGGTTTAGGGTTTAGGGATGTTTAGGGGCTTTGGGTTTGGGGCTTAGGGTTTAGGGCTCAGGGCCCTAAACGCTTTGGGATTACGAATTATTTGCGGGACGATGAATGGTGAGGCATGGGTTGGCGGCTTAAGGCTTGGGCTGACATGGGCTAACGGACTAGGGCCCTAAACCGTAAATCCTAAACCCTACACCCTAACCCCCCCTAAACCCTAAACCGTAAACCCAAAGATAAGGTTCCCCCCCGCCTTAACAAACACTAAACCCTAACCCCCCTAAAGCCTAAACCCTAAACCCAGAGATAAGGTTTCGCGGCTTAGGTACGTTGATGTCCTGCCACAAGAACCCAAATCCCCCGGCATCCTAACTGCCTACGGCTGATGATATAAATCCTGCACTACCCATGATACGCAATATTCCACAATTCCCATAGTTAAGGTCCTTAATGCAGGATTTGTATCATCAACAGTAGGGGATACTGACCCAAACCATGCCTGTAGTCTCCATTATAGTTCCTTTTTTGGGTTTAGCTTGTTTCTCTAGTTAGGATCTTATAAGGTACACCCCCAAACAGGAACTACAGTGGAGACTAAAGGTAAGAGCCGTTGCTACTATAGAAACCCTGCACTCGACTGTGTGGCAAAGGCTTTGGGTGTGAGTTTTGTTCGAACCCTAAACCCTAAACCCCAAACCCTCAACCCCAAACCCTAAACCCTAAACCTCAAACCCTAAACCCTAAACTCTAAACCCTAGACCCCAAACCCCAAACCCCAAACCCTAAACCCCAAACCCTAAACTCTAAACCCTAAACCCCAAACCCTAAACTCTAAACCCTAAACCCCCACCCAGCTGCTTGATCGATATTTTCTCATTAGTTTAGCTCTTATGCTTGTCGTCTTACGGAGAAATCCCAGCCTGTCAAGTGAAGGACGACCTTGCTCTGAATTCCGATGGCAGAAATTCCCTAAGGGTCCATGTGCCCAAATAGTCTGTACTTTGGCCCCAAAGTACTTATATAGGGACTACTTTACCCATAGGCCCCATGGTAGTTCCTTTTTGGGGTTACCTTATAGGAATCTATACATGAACCCCAACAAGGAACTACTGTAGGGCCTATGGGTACTTTAAGGCCAAAGTATAGATGGGCACGTGGACCCTTAAGGATTCTTGGGTCTTTTAAGGAAGGTTTGGGAACTCTGCTGGTTTTAAATAGATCCTACATATCAGTAGTTCTCTAAACTAGGGTTAGGGTTTAGGGTTTAGGGTTTAGGGTTTAGGGTTTAGGGTTTAGGGTTTAGGGTTTAGGGTAAAATAGATCCTACATAT